TTGTGATGACAAAACTTCATTTACAGAACACCAATGCACCACTGCCCTCACAGAGCTTGAATACATACCGGGTGAAGGAATGCAAGGCATGTGATGAAAAAGGATGACTATTCTGTATCAGGTACATACAGAGTCCCATTTTTGCTGTCATTGAGGTAAAAGATTGAGTTAAATATTGGGTTTTCCCTACATATGTTCCCATTCTAGTGAGCTCCAATCTTGTCTGCCACAAAAGAAATAAAATTTCACCTGCAGAGGCAGTAAGTTTGTTACATTTGGGCTACAAACTTGATACCATTGTATGTGCTCCACTGGAAGTTAACTCTTAGAGTATTCAGACCACAGCAGTCTGGCTGTAAAGAACAATCTAAACCAGGATTTCAGTTGCTATCTTCTGTAAACACAAGCTCTCAAAATGAAAACATATGTCTGTATGCAGCAGGCAGTGAGTGCAACAGCAGTCCTGCCTAGGTATAAATTTAATGACTCAAAACCCATGGCTCCAGTTTCCATGGATATAAACAAGATGACACCTCTCCTCAACTCATTAAAAATACAAACAATAATAAAAAAAAGCACTATGCAGGATCACAGGAATAAACCTCTGAGAAGGTGAGTGAATGGAGGCTTAGTACAGAGCTACTGGATAAGAGACAGCAGCAAGATATCCTTCTGGGCAGAGCAGAACCCTCAAAATCAGAGCCAGTTGAAAAAGCCATCAGTGCCCCCAGCAGAACTGTGCACACCAGCAATGAGCAGATCCTCCCGAGCAGGGCAGGGGTGCTGGTACCATCCTCCTCTGGCTGAGTACGATCTCTCTGCATCCCACCAACAACTCCATAAGCTTGGCTTGGCTTCCTCCCTCCTCCAATGCCTGCCTTCTGGAGCCCAGGGCAATGCAGCAACATTTGCTCCCTGGGAAAGAGCATCTGTCCCAGCAGTCTGGAGATGGTGGAAGGAAGATGGAACCTCCACCCTCCACGTGGAATGGGCTGCCTGGCTGGCCTCCAGCAGAGGCACGGTCCTGCCACCAGCTCCCGGCATGTGCCTTCGATCCTCTGTGGACACGTGGCCCTTGGGAACCACGACACACAGGAACAAGGAAAAGAGCACCAGGCATTCTCAAACATGAGAAAAAAATTCTTCAAATCTTACTTTGAGTGTATTTTGACTGAGTTTTGTGTCCACTTGCTCCTGCATTCATATTAGCAGTTTTTGTGCTTGCCAAGGTTACAGGGAGTTGCTATTAGAAGTTTGTTTGGAGGCTAAACTGCCAAAAAAAGTGCAAACAAACCCCATGCCAAAACAGCACAGCATACATTCATTCAGAGCAAGGTGATGTGAGCTACATAAAAAATCTGAAAAAGAAAAGTTGTTTTTGAAAGCCCATGCAATATTCTGACTGATTTGTTTTGGTCAAATTGGCTGCATTCCTTTCAGGGAAAGAAGGCAAAAGACCAACATCCAAAAGCCACCACTTCAAAACTTTTTGTGATTTCAGAAGTGTTTGCACCCACTACCTTGTGTGCCTGTGCAGAAGAAATGCAGCCAGCAGCAGGGAAGCTGCCAGGCTACCTTCTGTTTAAATATCCTTGGCTCAATGCTAGTTCAAGTACCTTTTTTTCTGCAACATTTAGCAGAGTAACCTAAAGCAGCCTGATTTTAATGACATAAATGTAAAATAATCAAGCCCAGGACTTCAAGACCATGAATCCTCATCAGGGCTGGCTGAACTCCCATTTGTAAATCCCACAGATTAGTTCTATTTACTTCCTTCACAAGGAAAAAAGAAAGAAAGGATTAAATACAATCAGCCTGAGCTGGAAATGGGCTTCTCTGTGTCTCCAGCACAGACTGGGATCTCAGAGCAGTAGAAAGCAGACACAATGGCAGGAGGACTGGTGTGTGGCAGCGCTTCACCAGGCTGGGTCAGCACCTGAAGCAAAGCAAGGCTATTGTAGCACAGGAAGGCTCTCCTCAGTGTGAAGAGAGGCAGCCAGGAGAGCTGTCTGCACCTCACTCACTTTCATCTTAATTCCTTAGGCCACAAAACATTTGGCACTGGTTTGATATATCATCTTTCAGTTACGCATGCATATGGATAGCACTCAGCTGAAAACAGAAAAGAAGAAAAAATAAAAATAAAAACATCACACTATCCTTAGCAGACAAGTTAAACCTGCTTATCTGCAGAGGAATGAGAATCTTTTTTTAGTAACAGCTGAATCCCATGAGAAAGCACTCACAGACGTGCACCAGCAGACCACACACCAGCGTGACCACTGGCTTCCTACATGAGAGAAACTGGTTTAACTCAAGATACTGAAAATCCACAAGAGACTCAGATGGTAAAATCACCATTGAGCTGTCAAAGACATGCAATAAATGTGACTTTTAATAACCTCTTCAACCACCACTCAACAAGAAGAAGCTTCCATGGCTGCTCCCAAGCCCCAAGTACAAGCATGTGCCTTTATGCCCATCACGTGTCACAGCACAAGTAAACATACGAGCTCAGAACTGGCTTGGCAATCCCCAGGCAGTGACTCTGTGGCTTGTGGCACATGCCATGCCCAAAACTGAGCTACTGTATAAATACCAGCACCTTTGCTTGGTATGAGCCACAGGACATCCTACCTCATCCTGCAGTGCAGTGGGGAAACACAGATTACTTGGGGTGATTTTTAAGAGCTGCACTTTGCTTTCTATCCCCTAAGATAAAAGGATTTAAGTTGAATTCTTTTACATGCAAAAAAAAAAAAAAAATTAAGCCTCATCTTCCAATGTGCCCCCTAAACTGTGCACCTCACCTGTTTATCACTTCTAATAGCTCCTCAAATTGTGACCTTCCAGGGACAGACAAACTCCAAATAATACATCCTTGTAACAGACAAAGAAACTCCTTGCTTCCAAAAAGTTTATATTGGGTCACTGTGCAGGTTTTACTGGAACTGCCCTCCTTCTATGAGATTATGACTGAGTCTACTGGCATAACAAGGGCAAATGTTTTGATTCTTCCCGGTTAGGGCAGGTAAAATAAAAAGACAGTCTTCTTGACTATCAAAATACAGCACATGATTTATGTGGTTATTGCTGTTTCTGTTCGATGCATTGGTTTGAGCCAACTAACAAGAGACTGAGAGACTGTTCTGAGTGAAAGCATCTCCTAAACACTGCAAAGAACACAAGCAGTAACCATTCCTCATGTCAGACCACAAGCAAAAGAGCTCAGTCCGAGCGAGTCAGGGTGAGGAAAGAGAGACTCCAGATCCAGTCCTGCCCTGGAGGGACCCTACAGTGACTTACACTGCGCCCAGGGCTCACCAGGTGTGGGCTCTCTGGAAAACACCAGCACCACCCTCCCCTTCCCAACCCGCACAGCCCAGAGACACAAGCACTGTGCATGGATGTGGACTTACCCAGGGGCACAGAAGAGGCCACAGGAGGCTGAGCTGTAGAGCCAGGTTCTCTGCTGCCTCAGTGAATGGTAAATACTTACTGAAAATGAGACAGGGCTTCAAGAACCATGAGAACTGCATGTGGAAATACTGCAGTTTTCCAGTATTGGAAAACTCCAGCTCTTCAGCAAGGCTTCTGCCAGCAAAATGCTCACCGTTGCTCCTGGGGAATGGCTGACAGGAATGAATGCTTCCAGAATGAATGAATGAATGAATGAGCAGAGCTTCCAGAACTTTCCAAGAGTGGGAAGCCTCTCTTGCTCCCTTTCTCTGCAATGCTTATACAACAATACACTATCATTCATAGCATAGTATGCTGCTATTCAAGAGGATTTTTCCTTACCCTCCAACCTCCAAAAATTGTTTTGGTTCCAGAATTATTTTTAATACTCATTCAGACTCCTCAGTTTTAAATGCTGAACAACCCTACAATACTCACCTTATCACCATCTGACTTCAGATGAGGCAAAGATGCTTTAGGAAAAGACAACCAACGACCACTACCAACCACAGCAGCCACCCAGCACTATGCATAGGGCACTTGAGTTCAATTTGGATATTAAATAATTCCTGGGGAGACCTACTTTTACTACCCACTGTAAAGATTTTTGAGAAAATGAGCTCGTTGCTGTGGAATTAATAATACATCTATGCAGATTGATATTCCCAGGAGATAAAGGGAAAGGGAAAAACATTAAAAACTGATGCTCCTGGCAAATGAAAAACTAATGGACCGTATTTCCCTTGAAGGGATGGGAGGTGTTTTTATTTTATTTCACTCTGATGACTAGGCAAGATTTGTTCTCAGGGAGCACCATCTCCGGCTAAATGGGAACACCTTGAAAATTTTGTATAAAATGTGGAGGAGAGCATAAGTCATCACATACCAAATATAAAGAGCCCTGAATGATCACATGCTGCAGCAGAATGTAGCTCTGATTATGATTTACTTGAAAACCAAAATAATTCTGCACCGTTCCAACCAGATGTTTCTGTCTAAGTTTGGCAGGAACATCAAGGATTCAAACTGCAACCAAAGCCATTGTCAACTGTTTTTCAAATCTCACCTCCATTGCCATCTGAGGTTCAACAAGGCCAAGTGCTCAGAGGTGACCTTCTCTCTCTCCAAACACCTGGAAGGAGGCTGTAGCCTGGTGAGGCTTGGTCTCTTCTGCCAGGTAACAGGATAAGAGCAAATGACCTCAAGTTACACCAGTGGAAGTGTACACTGGGTATTAGGAAAAGTCTCTTCACTGAAAGGGTGGTCAGGCACTGAAACAGGCTGCCCAGGGACATGGTAGCACTGGCCCTGGAAGTATTTAAAATACATGGTACTCAGGGACATGGTCTAGTGATGGACTTGGCAGGGCTGGGTTCATGGTTGAACTGAATGGTCCTAAAGGTCTTTTCCAACCTTAATGATTCTATGACTCTATCCTTTGAAAACTTTGAAAACTATTTTACTTTCAAACTCCCTTTGAATGTTTCAGTAACTCCAAAGAAACAGTGAAACATTTCAGTTCATTACATCCTTGATGCCACTCAGGATAACACACATATTTATTCACAAATATTTACAAGTCAAACTCATGCAATTATCTGCATTTTCAAAACCACATGGAATGCTAGAAAACTGATTCTGAAATTATTTAAAAACAAAGAAATTAAAACTGATTTGCATTACTTAATATTTATTGATACAAAAGAAAATTCATAACAAACTATGTATTTACCATTTACACTGAAGAAAGATCTTTAAGATCAATGAAACAACATGCCCCTAAAACTGGGGTGTCCGATGAAAATGTTCAGTGTTCTTTAGAACGCTTCTGCATTAGATGATCTTCAATTTGCAGGTAAAGTTATGGGGAAGAGGTGTCCATCAACACATTTCTTGCTCTTCCTCTAAATTATAAAAAAACCCAGCAATTAGTTCAAATTAACACAGTTAAAAAATAGGCCTACCTATGCCATAATATTGGGGAGTTACAAGACAGTAAAGTGGAACAACTGCAAATTGTACTCACAGCAGCAAGGACATCACAACATTCACCTACTCCAGTGGCAAATCAATAAAAACATTAGTATTATTTCAATTATGCTCAAAAGAGCACATTAGCCTAATTTAATTTCACTAATAGTGGTCTCTGACAAATGTGCTCATCTGTGCAAAACCTGGAGCTGTCAAAGCCACACCTGGTTGTGGCACTGACACTTGCTCTCCAGGAATTCTCCCAAGCCATTTCAAGTACAAATTATATCTTGTGAAGGACCAAGAGGCCTCAGTAGTTAATGTGCATGTAAGTTTCTTGTTATTTTTATAAAGATCTTGTGTGTATTTGAATTCCCTTTAACTTGGGTTTACACAAATGCTTCACAATCTCTGGTCTGCAGTTCCAAAGGTCACAAAAAGCTGCTGACAGTAGGGAAAATAACTACGAACTAAAATGCTTGCTGAGAGAATAATAACTGATGCAATTCCCCACATCAAGTGACAGCTGAGTACTGCTACTCCTCATGTAGAGTTATATGGCAAAAGCAGACACTTGATAGCCTGGACTATGCAAGATGTCAAATTTTCAACTGGTTTAAAGCCCATGCACAGAATAAAGAATGCTGTTAAGACCTGCAGGTGAAAATAATAAGCCACTATACAAATACAGCAAAATGTTTCGGGGTGTATGTGCAGAAAAGTGGTAGCTAATTCACCCAACCTGAGCAGTGGGCTTCTCATCAAACCAAGGTGTGTGTCTGCCCTAGAGGGACTCCTTAGAGCAAAGACAGAAAGGCGATAAGGTTAAAGCTGACACTTGTGACTCTACTTACTGCGCCTGTTTTGTCCTTTAGCGTGGAGAAAGGAATGGCAGTGGCTGGGGCTCAGGCACACCCCACACGCTGGTGGCAATACTGGTGTGGCATGGAAGACTGCTCTCCACTTTAGGGGTACAGAAATAAGGGTTTTCCCCAAAAAAGCATGAACTAAACTTACAGAAGAGCAGGTTGCAACTTCACAGGATGTCTGAGGGCAGAGGGGACCTCTGGAAGCCATTTGATCCAACACTTCTGCTCAAGCATGACCATCAAGAGCTGGCTGCCTTGGATTCAGATAAGCACTTTCCACTGACACAAGCCTGTGTTTCCTGATCTCTTCTGTAGCTCTTGACCTCTCTGCAGTAACCACAGCAAGAAGAATGAGGATGCCAAGTGTGCACACCAACACTCTGATGTGCTTTGCAAACACACACTCCCACCCAGGGCACTAAGAATGGCAAAACAGAGATGACGGGATCTGGACTCTGTGGACAGAACTGTTCCACATGGAAGGCTATGTCACATGTGCTTGACCAGGTCTCAGCCCCATCTCCAAGAGAAATGTATGAAGCTGATTCTGAGGGGCCACCTAACACATCTCTTTCAGTCTAGGCTCCTTAGACACTGCAGAAACACTAAAAACCTGGAAGATTACTTTCTCCTGGAATTTACCAGAAAAGTCAAGCAGCAAGAGGGTGTGAGAGGGCACATGAGAGATCCACACCCACACATGCAGCAGTGGGCACACCTCTGTGCCAAAACCAGCTGGTGCCAGGCGGCATTCCCACTGGCAAGAGGCATGAAGATGTGAGAGCAGGTGAATGCCTGGACTAGCCTGCCAACACAAAATCAGGGTATGGCGTGGTGCCTAAGTGATGGCAGACACACATCAAGATTGTGCCAAGGCAAAGGAAGTCACCAGCACGCTGAATTAGTGCTCTAAGAGGAGCAAACAGCACAATACTACGGTGCTCCAGGGTAAGTCTGGCCATGGGGAATGGTGCTAGGATGGATTCTTACAGCACTGCAGAGCCAGCCTCAGCAGATGGACGAGGTTCAAGGGCAACCAAGTGGGCCTGAAGCAGTCTCAGTTCTGCTTCTGCAGCCAAGAAAACAGCAGATGATGACAATACAAACACCTTGCCAGTGACATCCTAAGCCAACCTTCTTGGGATTAAAACTACACAAAAGTCCTTCAAAGAACAGAGGCCAAAGAAAGCTTTGCATCACCTCTCTGAGGGTGAAAACTGAAAGCTATGCCAGGCCCCATACAAAACTTGCAGGAGAGGTAGCAAAGAACCTTCAGGCACAAGAACACCTCTGAAATAATTCAAACACCTGGAACTGAGCTAAAAAATTATTCAATCCTTGCAAGTGGCAAAAAGACAGCAAAGAAAGCTTTGGTAAGGAAAATGCATCCAAATAGGGCAGGAAATTAGTTTAGGCAGCAAGACAAAAAATGAAGGAGCAGATTGAAACTTGATGAAACAGCTGAGCTGAAACAGCAGCAGGTGAATGCCTCATCCTGCAGCCTGTTCCAAGAGAAGGAAGAAAAAAAAGGAGACAAAAGTGAACTTGGGGCAGATACTTCAAGAAGACAACTGCCAACTTGCCTATAAAGACACAGTACATCACAGTGGCACAGTAATAACACGGAATTTAATGAAAAAAAGGAAATTATCATCAACATTTCAATATATACTTGAGGTGACCTCTCCACTGTAATTTCTGTAATAATTCAAGTTCCAGATATGAGGTGGGAAAAAAAGGGAACACTTACGCAAATCTATAGCCCATGCTAAATCAAATAAATTAAGAGAGGTTTTGTATTTCATTAGCATCACAGTTCAATGGAAACAAGCAAGAAGGGATGCAGGAAATCTGGGGTTTGTACCTCATCTAAACACCTCAGCATCTCATCAGAGATTAGCTTTGCTAACTTAAAAAGTTCTTCAGAAGAACATTTTAAATATTTTCAGTTAAAACAATACCAGTGTTGTAGGTTCCTCCTCTTTTTTTCCCAGCAAAACCCACAAATGCATCCTGCAGCATGAGTGCAGGACGGTGGGCTGACCCAGGCTGGATGCCAGGTGCCCACCAAAGTTGCTGTCACTCTCCTCACTCAGCTGGACAGGCGAGAGGAAATACAAGGAGAGGCTCCTGGGTCGAGATGAGGACAGGCAGAGATCACTCACCCATTACTGTCTCAGGCTGCAGGGGAATCTCAGCTCCAGTGCCTGGATCTCATCCTGGCTCCTTCTGCACTGACCTGGGTGTGGGCAGGGCTGTTTCTCTCACTTATCCTCACTCTTCTCTTCTCTGGCAATAATAACTTCTGCACAGTAGCATTTTTTTCATTCTTAAATGTTACCACGGCATAGTTACCACCAACTCTGGTGGGCTCAGCCTTGGCCAGCGGCAGGTTGGCACTGGAGCAGTCTGGCATTGGCTCTGTCACAGGGAAGCTGCTGCTGGCTTCCTACAAAAGCCATCCCAGTATCCACCCCCCACCACTATCAAACCCTGGCCATACAAACCCAATACAAGGTCATAAGCAGCAGAAGCCATTTCATTACAAGGTAATGATTCTGTGAGCTTCAGTGGGGTGAGCAACTGAACAAAATGAAGCCATTCTAAATTCTGATAGTTCACTCAGTGTAATTTGTCTGAAAGGTTAAACAGGATGCTAACATGGACTTGGTATGCCACAAAATGAAGAGGGAAATAAAGCGAACATTTAGTTTGTCTTTAAAACACAGTGGGGCTTTTTCACTATCTAAAATACTGTTCAAGCCTAGGAGCTGAGTTCTAACTTATAGCTGCAGCAACCTCTCTGCTTTACCTGAGAATTACCTTAAAAGTGTGTAGTAGAGCTTAGCTGCTCATCAGGCAAATGTCTGCTTCTACTAAGAAAATCAGCCATAATAAAAGGCAGGCAGCATTTGCTAGATGTAAAAAGGCCTCTGCAATTATCACTTAATTGTCCTTCATGGGCCAGTACTGGGAGTCTCATACTTTCCCCGTAAGGTTGCTCCCTTCTTCAGCACTTTTCTTAACTGTCTACTTAATTAGTCTTCCTTCCTGGCCTTAATTGTGAATTTGTTTTGATTAATTAGCCTCAGAGCTCACTTGGCACTAACTGAAATATAGGAGAAATGCTCAGTTTCTTCGGTGAATAGGCTACTGCATCCTAGGGGAGCCCCCTCTTTGTCAGCAATAAAATTTCAAGTCCAGATAGTGTTTGAAAAGAACTTTTTTGTAATTAACTTTCAATTCTTGTAATTACCCCCACTGTACTACAACACAAAAGTGTTGCTAACATAAAGAAAGGGTAAAATTCATTCAATTCAGGCCTTTTCTTAGGTGGATTATCCATCACGCTCATTAGCTGAACCCTGTAGTTTTAGATAAGATGACACAATGTTCTCAAATGCAGGTGATCTGATCACTATTAGAATCCCAAACCAGGAGTGTGGTTTACCAGCAGAGACAGCTGTGTCCTTGTGGCACCAACACCAGAAAACCTTTCCCATATCAATATTTTCAAAGTTACTGAGCTTCACTGAAAATGCTTTGCATAACCTAGATCAGGTTTACCTAGATCAGGTTAACCTAGGTCTGTAGCACCTCTGAGCACTAACACAGAGCTCTTCATTCCATTCACACCTCCCCTATCACTCCTTTCCCCTCCCTCTTTACAGCACGTTGACTTCAGAAGACACCCTCACAGGTTACCATGCATCTGCCATCTTGATCAATTCTCATTTCAGGTACTGTTACTGAAAACACAGGAAAAGGCATCTTTAAACACCATCACAGTGAAAAAGTTTAATAAGCTAAACGAAATAATGTGTGTTAACAGCTATCATACCCATTTAATAAACTTCCAAAATATTTGTCAAGAGTACTGGAATTCTTCAGTTTTCAAATTTAAAAGTCCTTACTTATCAAGCTGCAAAGAGAAATAAAAATCTTATTCTAGATATTAATTTCTGTGAGCATTTTTAGACTTGCATCTCAACAGTGAAGCTGACAAAGTAAACACTTTGTTTCTTCCAGCTCCTGGTTTCAATCAGTGTTGCTCTTGTGCTCCAAACAGGACTGCAGAAGGAATACAAAGTACCTCTGGTTTTACAGCGCTTTGTGTTGTACCTTTACTTGGGCACAGAAGCTCAAATGAAGCAGATCAGAACAGGAGCTTTATGAGTGGGCTTAAAACCACAGAGCAGCTCTGCGGACAAAACTTTTAACAAATTTGTTTCCTAATGATCTACAGCCCACTGTTCTGACTGATAATCAACCATGTTTTCATCTCAGAACTGGACAATAAGACTCACTTTGGTTGTCAAATCCTAACTGAAGCTCATCCATGCAACCCAAAAGGTTTGGGAACCAACCTTTGAGATCACTTCTGACTGTATTTGTGAACATCTGTGAAGTGACAGGATTCTGCCAAGGAAATGTACCAGCTTGGAAGACCTAAGATATTCAGTTACAACAGCTGTCAATACCATTAGAGAGGCATGGCCATGCTCTTCAGCTAGATGTATCACCTGCAATCAATCACCACTTAAAGTAAATCCTGTATTACAAAAGACATCATGCAGAGTCTATACAACAGTAGAAATACAAGAAATATTCCCTCATGCTGAAATGCCTTTTCAACTGTTATGAAATGAGGAAACAGCTCTTTAGGTCTATTGCATTCCCCAAATGTTAATTTAAAATCATCTGCAGATAACCAATTTAGTTGTGCACTTGCAAAATAGAAGAAGCTGTACATGTGCCTCAACAGTTTGTTTTATTGGTCCTGTTTATTTTGTCTGTAATTACTCAGCTCACAATCTCCTATTTTAGATTTACAGAGTTGTACAAATATGGATGTGCATACACATCTGACTGTTCTGCAATCACTCTTCTGCTAATTTAAGCTTCAAAAAGCTTTCTTTAAAAAAACAGGAACAGCTTTCCAAACAAATAAAACTACAAAAAGATAGATTTGCAAAAGAACCTACTAACTTGTAATTTTTTTGAAGGGAGCCACAGCCTTCAAAGCTGTGGCTTTTTATTGTGGCATGACTTCTCAGTTAAGCCTCTTAAAAGAAGACCCTGGATGTTACTATACTATAGAACACATGAACCTATTAACATAAAGCTGAAATATGTGACTTGGCTTTTGTTTCCAGCTCTCTCAATTACTGCTGATAGAAAGCAATGAATTAAAATACTGAAAAACAGGGATGCCCACTAGGATATCAGCATGTATCCTCCAGGAACAGTATCTCACATTTTGTCTCCTTCAACACAAAGATCCCAACTTGACTCCACAACAGGTAACACTGGTTAACCAACTTCAGCCTAGCTCCACAAACACCTGGCGAAACCACAGTAGCCAGTGGAAGTGAGATTACTCAGCAGAACAGAAAAGAGGCTGGCAAAAAGAATCACATGTTTGCAGGAAGAACTAACTCGTCACATTTCAGAAAAGACTTAATTTTTTGCAATATCCCATTTGGCCTGCTGTACACAAAAATGTAGGAAGCAGGAACCGAAATGAGACCAGGCAGAGGTGAAACATCAGCTGCTGCTTCTGACTAGCAACTGATTATTGACTGACACACTGCAGAACTCAGCAGCCATAGGAGTCCTGGCACTCAGAAGATTCTCCTGCACCTCCTCACACTATATTTAGGCTAATGACACAGCAGCAAATTTCTAACAAGTGCCAAGTTGAAGAAAAATTTTGAAATGCAATCCAGACCAACAGTGAACAACCGAGGTCCTGCTGTGTACTAATGTTTTAAAGAACAATTTTGTGCAAGTGGCTGCAACAAGTACAACATCCATGTAACTGAATGGATGTAGCAACCTTCAGTAGTTAAGTCCTACTGTGAATGGCAACTGATTTACATCTCTTTGCAAGAGAATTCAACTAAATTTAACTCCACCTCTAACACACCGTTCTTCCTGCCTTTCAAAAACCAGATCCTCCTGAGCCCAGAGGCCAACAAAGGACTAAGAGCTGTGCTTGAAGCCCCATCTACTGACAAATAATAGAACTGTTGCTAAACCAGAGCAGTATTCCAGAGAACATCCCTTGACAAACTTGATATTGCTTCTTAAAAAAGGTAAACCACAATCATATTCAGATGTAGTCCAGCTACAAAATGTTCTCTGCAAACTACACAAGACACTTGTCTCAAGAAACCAACCAGCCAGAGAGCAACAAAGCCATCCAGCCTAAAAAGTGACATACTTTACCAAATCTGCCCTGTTCTCCCTGACACTCCCAGCCATAGAATTAGGAAAACACAAACAGGCATGCTGACCTGAAACCTGCATTTGAACACCTGCACTTTCCAGCCTGTGTCAGGAAAAGGTCTGCACACATTAAATCTGCCTTAGAAAGCATCCTGAAGAACTATTTCTCTTGACTCAAAAGAAAACCCCTCATGATCTTGCTGCCAAGTTGCAGGGGGCAAAGACACATCTGTGCCTGATATGACAGTCATCACTTCTTATCCCAGCCCACCTAATGAAAACACATCCCTGGAAAGCAGGGGCTGCTGAACTCTGCCACAGCATCCACCCACACTCTCCTTCAGGACCACAAGCCCTGCAGTCCATACACATAAGTTACCTACACTAACCCCTTCAGTATCCATCCTTCTGCAACCCAATCTGCAGAGAGGTAACACAGAAAAGAATCTGCAGGGCATTTTTGTTCAGAACTCCCTGGCTATTAACACAACTGAAAAGTTTTCTTGTTCTCATTTTTAACTGGAGCCAATTTGCTGCTGAGATCAGAGACCATCACATCCATGGCCTGACCGCTGGGAGACCTGCTTGGGTTAGAAGCAGAGTCTTAGGTTTAATCCTAGCCCTGTACTTTTTCCAAGTGGCAAAGTTCCAGATCTCTGTAGGCCTGAGGAGCTGAAAGACTTAAAAACTAAACGTTTTAGTGGGTGGGATCCCCTCAAGCAGTGAGACAGCATGTGTGCCCATCTGGTAGCTGGTATGGCTCCAGCACAGGAAGGACATTATTTGAATCTTGCTGACCTTGAAGAGACCAACCCAAGCCCAAAATTTAGAAAAGCTGCCAACATCAAATTTATACGGAGTGACTAAATGACTTTTTTCTTTTTTAACTCTTAAACTGCTTACAAAAGTTGAAAAAAAGGACTGGAAAAAAAAAGGACTTTCTGTGTAGTCTGAACTCTGACAGTAAATAGTTTGTTTCAAGACAGGCACGTTCCTGTTTCATCTTCTCAGAGCTACATGAGACTTAGCCATGACTGAAAAGAAAGCACACAACTTCTACCAAGTATTTCCACTGTCAGTCTACTTATGCACTAGCCATAGGAGCTTCAAAGAGAATGACAAAGTATTAGCTCAAATTCCCCAATCCAAAGGATCTTTCACAGAGGCACAATAATCTTGGTGTCCAAGACCTTTCACAGACACAGGGAATTAGCTGAGAGCTGAAAGCCAATTTCTCTTTCCTACTTTAATGTATACTCTAGATTTAGCATAAAGATCATGGCCAAGACTGGTTACAAGGTTAGTGCTCAATCCTCAAGTCCTTAAGAGTTCACAATTCCAATTCAATTTTCCTTATCTCCTTCTCTTCAAGGATAGCAATGACCAGAGAAAGAAAGCAGCATATGAGAAGAGCTGTAGTTTATCCTTATCTTCAGCCAGAAGGAACCTCAAAGAGCTTGGGAGACAAATGCTATGTATACCATCTGCTGTCTAGACTTGGCTTCTGGAGTATACAGTATAATTACAGCTTTCCCAAAGGTCCTCATTATTATCCAGGAACACAGCAAGCAAATCAAAAGGAGATATTAAAGTAATACATTTGGCAATGACCTATCACTGTTACACAAAATAAAGCTATCAACAATGTTCAGAGCTAATCAGGCCATAGCTTCCACACAAAAGACACAAGTGATAAGCTCCTACTTAAGAGCTCCTATTTTCCTATTCAGATTGGAGGCACTAATCATCCAGCTGCCAGACAAGGAAGGGTTGCCTGTCGTTAACATATGAGAAGGCAGCTGGACCCCAGCACAGCAGCCTTGCAGCAGCCCATCTCCTAGACAACAATTACTGGAATGCAAACAGCAGGTTTGTCATTTAAACAGAGATTATTCTAAGCAGGTTGTACCAGGCAGTCGTTAAGACTATCTATCAGATGTTAGCTGAGGATGCCAACGTTTTTTCAAGTGCTAAGCATCTTTAGGGAGATTAGGCATATTGATACAATTTGGAACAACAAATACACCCACACATTTCATACTTTTATCTTTCTGTCACTGGATGGCACAAGAACAGTGACTGATTCAGAGCAAGGCCCTTCAGTATGCCATTTCAGTTTGACAGCAAACAACCAACATTCTTCTGTGTTTTTTCCCTCAACTCTTCTTATCTTGATTTCAGCTGCTCTGTATTCATTTGTAATGTTAGGGTGGGCCCACTCAAACACCTGTGTACGTAAAAAGGACTTCAGAACATACAAAAATTTGACAAGTGTTTAAGCAAACTTCTTTGCAGAAAGTTCTTCACCTGTCTTTGAGTTGGGTGAAGAGAAGAACACAGTCTTCATTTAGAAGATTTCGTATGTTATATCCATTTCCTACAAAGAAAAACAGAGTAAGTTTTCCTTAGGATCCACTGGCAATTTTTTAAGTCCTCTCCTTTTTTAAGTCAGCCAAGTATAATTCCATTTAATATATTTTAACAGAAAGTATATTAACTCTTAATCTAGGATGCCACTCCAATAGGCAGGTCAGTGCATTTCAAAGAGATGACAAGGAATACACCTAATGTCATTTACTTTCATCTGTGCTTAGAAGATTTTTACTGAGAAGAATGTAACAGGCATGAACTCTCAGCTCTCAAAACCCACAATAAAACTTTAAGGTGACTGAATTTACTTCAATTTATTCCTACAGAAAATATCAATAAAAACTGTACATGGAAACTTATCTGCAGATCTTGACTTGAGTTTTGCACACTAACATGGCCACAAAACAGAATTATCTAATAGGCCCTGAACACTGGGAATGAACAACATCCTCACATTCATATACGGCCACACAGTGAATTACAGGGATCACCTGCCACCAACATTGCATTGCCCATCCAGCCATACTGAGAGCAGCCATCAGGAAGCAGGGAAGAATGAAGTGTAGATCCTTATGGTCATACAAAACTTTCAGCATTTTATATAATCTGCTTTCCCAAAAAGCAAATTCAAAATTGTCTCTGCAGACCCACTAGACTTTTAAGATTGTAACACCAAAAAACAGCTTCAAAGCACCAAGCATTAACTGAGCAATGACTGTTCAGTCAGGACACTGTGCTGAAAAGTTAACAGGGAAAAGATGGGCTAATTCCTCAATTTCTGAAGATAAGCCCCTTCACAAGAAAGCTGCACAAAAGCTATCTATAGTTTCATGTACAGCCTGCTTTAACACTACTATAAATCTCCAGACTAGTGTCTTAAGCCACTGATGAAAAGCCTCCCATATGGAATTCATGCCACTTTTATATCAAAAGGACAAAATCAGATCTTTAAATTCTCAAGAAAACATATGAAGTTACAACCTATTCAACAAGATAGCTGAACCTTCTATATATGAGAAGCACAAAGCACAAAATGGTGAACTGATCCAAATGGATTTTCATAATTTTACATAGGAAAAGAGTAGCAAGCATACGGTGACAGAAACAATTATATTAATTATGAGTAACATTCGGCTGTCTTCCTCAACACTACAGCTAGTGACAGAATCAGAAAACCAAGAGAAATTTACTCTTAGAAGTTGGTAGCGTCATCAAAACTTTGAGGCCACAAGAGGTATGTGTATCCCTGCATTCAACCATTACATGATCAACCTACGTCCAGTGTTTTGTCATATTCCATTCTTCCTCACCCTGTACTGTCCCACTGGCTATTCAGAAATTCTGTTTGGATTTGATTCCCAGCATGCTGATGTAGGCTCCTGCACTCCCAACAAGCACACACTCACCTGCTGGAACATAAAAGCAGTCCCCTGCAGTCAGGCAATACGACGCGTTATGTAATGTCACAATAGCTTTGCCATGGATAATATGGAAAGCCTTAATGGAAGCCAAAGGGTTCTAAGGTTAGCACCATTTAAAGAAGATATCCAAGAAAACACTTGCACACACATAACAAAGATGAAAACCCAAATCAGCCAGCAGAGCTGCAATCTCTTTTCCCCATACTGATGAAAAATAAGATGTTCAAAAGGGGGATGGGGTCCAGTTTTCTTTTTCTGATATTTCTATCTTGCCTGCAAGATTTACAAAGTAGAAGCAGATGGACATACAGATTTAATACAAAGCAAAGCAGGGCAATATGCATGCAAAGAACCTCCAGTAAAAAATTCATTAATGTTCATTTGTTTTGGGGGCAGGGCAGACCTCTCAACCTTATATGTTATTTCCAACCACCCCAACAGATCTTCTGTTTACAAAGTCCATTTCATAAAACTTTTTAAAAGCACACTTACTATTGTATCCTTGTCGACAAACTGGTGTCCCTTTTCTTTATATGGTTTCAGAATCAATCTACCAGTTGCAAAAAGAGACGTATTCAAATTTTTGTGTATTTCTACTGCTTCATTTTTGAAGAAGTGCGTTTGACTGTCTGCAGTGTTTATACAATCTACAAAAAATGTCCAGGAGATTAGCATTAATGCTACCACATAATTAGTCTTGTTACAAGCTCAGAGCAATACATATTGTTTCAGTGCAACACCTCCAAAAGCCAGACTCAACATTTAGCTGAAAAATTATGACACTTCTTATGTCTCCCTCAGAACCTTCTCCAGAAGAGAAATGAATATTTCAGATCCTCACTTTTTTATGCACAATGTGGCATGAACTTTTTTTTTTCTCATAAGTCTACATAATTCAGGAAGTCCCTTGGTCTCATCCATCAACTCACCTAGATGCACTTCATTATTTGTTACTGGGTCCAGTACAATGACTGGCTTAGATGCATCAGCTAGGCTGTGGTCCAAACTTGGAGGTATCTCTCCTCTATCTGAGGATACAAAGAAACCAAAACAAGACCAAAAAAGTAATCAATATAGATTTCAAGAAGTTAATAATTTAACCACAACTTTTCCACAATTCCAATGTCACACATTAAGTAACTAAATTTCCTTTAATAAGTGACTAAATAGAATGAACACTCTTCTTTCAAATAGAGAAAACCATTCATAACAATTCTTTGAAAATATCTTTTTCATTGAAATAATTTCTGTGTGTTATAGATGAACACTCTCTAAATCCTAAGGAATTTCCCGGGGAAATGCCACCTATTTATCCTATGTTATTAACAACAGTATTTATTCAAAAACTAAACTCTATGTTTTGAGAGATGTGTTTTTCTAGCAACAGATGCTGAGAGAATATGAAATACATGATGAAGAGTGAAGAACAGGTGGTTTTGCTCAATGTATTGTTGATAGGCATCAGGGGACTTAAGAGAGAAAGCGTTCAATGATAAGCATATGTCCAATTTTTCTGTTCTAAAGAAATAACACTGTGAGAATCTCACTCTAAGCTGTAAATCTGAGAACTATTGCTATAATAAAAAGGACTTTTCCAGAGAAAGAAATATCCTAAGAACTGATGACAACACTATGCTTTTCAAACAGAAAAGAGACGCTTTAGAATGTTCACGGCAGAACAAATATCCCAAAACTCTCTTGCAGAATTCTCTTGAGCAGACAATTTTAGCTCTACAGTGCACAGGAAATTTCTTTAAACACAGACAGAAGGAGCATGCTAAAGGCAAGCTATAGCACTTTGTAGGCATGGCAGCTTAAATACTCTTACAGTAAGACTATCGGGGGAGGAAGAAAGTTACTGCGTTTGAACAGCTTTGTTCCAACATAATCATCTCTCTATATAAAGAAGCAGCAACAGGTACAACACTATAGCTATAAAACCAGAATTTTTATTGTATCAATAACATTTAAGAATTTGTGCTAGAAATTCTATTTGGCTGACAGGCCTTACATGCATCACTAAGACCCAAGGATGTAAGTGAAAGACTATCTCTGAGGATGAATGTCGGCCACAGAGGAAATCAATCACTTCTGGAAGTCAGTTCAAAGGCACTTGAAGGAACCAATAGTTCTTGTAAGATACAATATGAACAGTCACTACCAGCTCAGGATCTCATGGGCTGCAACTGATTTATATTACAATATAAACTGTACTTAGACCAAATATTGATCTATACCAGGGTCCTGTCTCCCATCAGTGGCCCAAAGCAGGTACTCCTTCCATTCCTCAAAATGCCACAATAATATACTCAATATAATATATTCAATTGAATACTTTCCACCTCTAACCTGGAGCTCCCACACTTTATTTAGAGCTATTAACTCTCTGTTTAATGTATCTGGTTCTTGCCTTGAAACTACATAAACACTTTTATGCATAATATTCTGGGCAGGAAGCACACAGTGAGAATGGCCACCTTATACTGCTGAACAACCCAGCTCTCACTGTCTTCCTTCTATACCTCCTAGTTCTTGTGTTTAAAACAACAAGCAGAAAACCCCAACGAGACCATTTACTTCTATTTCCCTTCTCTATGTCACTCATGATTTCTGAGGTGATTTAGACCTCTTCCTTAGAGGCCTCCATAGTACTCTCTTCAGGATTGAGGAGAATTCACTACAGGAAGTCCTTTTAGGTATTTGATGAGCTTTCCCTAAGCCTTCTCTAGTCCTACTACTTTCTTTTTGAGGTATGGAATAAAACTTACATGAAACACATGTAAAATCAGAAATTGGTACCAACAGTGATTGTTTTCTTCCCTATTTCTCTGATGATTATGTCAGTCCTGATTAGTGTAGTAATTAGATCCATATGGCATTTTCCATGTTTGTTAGCACTTGTTTTAATAGTTCTATAACTTCAAAGAGAAATGTTTCCGCTTCAAACAGCTCTAGACAGTCCCCATAAAGAAAGGCTCTGTAGCATTACAACATCTTCCAGAGAGCATAGCAAAAATAATTTTGCTTTTGGACCTTGACTCTCTTTTCTGAGCACTACTTACATGTTTATTATATACTGGCCAGAGAGTCTAGGTTTGCTTAAACATCACTTTATTGCCCACTTTTAACCATTTTATGCACTGTTCTTAAAGCTCTCCACCTACTGTGATGTGGTTTTGTATTTACACTACAACAGCTTGAAGCCCTACTAACACTCTCTGCTGCATTTTTAGATGTATTACAGGCTTCAGCAAAATGGCTACAAGTTTTTATACCTTAACCATGCCCACTAGCATCATGATCTGAACACAGAATGAGTACAGTTTAGTCTCTTCAGCCCCTGCTTTAAAGGCACAACAGCACTTCTGGGTATGTCTAGCACTTCTTCCTTTCTTACGCTGAAAAGTGAACAATTTTACTACAACAATGTACAGCATGGCTATAGATCCAGTAGGAGCAGGCTTTTCCTCATCAGATCACATTAATAAATTATGGTATTTGTGTGAAGTGATTGATTACAGGAGAAAAATCTTAGAGCAGCAGAGCATTAGATAAAAGAGACTTTTTAAAGTACCCAAAGGAAAAAAGTCTTTGTTCTTACCTGTTTTATCTCTTTTCTGCTTGGGACAATCCTTCCTCCTTTTACTCTTCCTGGGAGATTCTGTTTCTGGATGCACGAGTCCACTAATCACAAGCCCTCCTGAAACAAAAGGAAGTTAAACAAAGTCCACTAACTCAGAGTAAATCTAAAACAATGCAAACTTGCACAACCAATCAGCAGTACAATTGAGAATAGACTTCCTTGATGCTCAACTTTTCAGATTACTTTAGAAAGCCAGAACAAACAAAAAACTTTTTAATGTTAAGTACTTTGGAGTGCAATGCAACTTGAGACATTTTGAAAATTATTTTATCAAATTTCAGTCAAAGAACACTTCAGAAAGCCATCACATGCAATTAATTTTTTAAGATAAAATATCACTTTTACAGACACAAAAAAATACTATTTTGAGTGAACTAATTAATTAGGAAAGGACTAAACTAGGCTGAATTGTCAGTAAAAAAATTACTGAGAACAAGATATATTTTCTCACTTAGGGTATTTAACACTTAGACTATAAAATGTTATTGTATCTGCTCTCGAACACAATCCTTACACAAAAAGAAATGCTCCCATGAATGATCCAGCGGATTGTCTCTTTTTTCAGTATCACACACAATCTCTGACATAAAAAACCCACTAGTACAGAGACACTGTTCTGTTCTTCCCTCAACAGTGAAGGCAAAAGTACTTACCATGCTCTGCTGAGATTATTTTCAGCTGACACAGGAGTGTCAGAAGAGAAGAACACTACATGGAGAGATGACTAAATAACTGGAAACCACAAATAATCTTTTTTAAAAAGTTACCCAATAGTAAGCATCTCAAGGCTTGCACAGCACAAGATCAACTCAGATTTTTCTATTTTGCTTTGTCAGAAGGAAGCAAATATTGGTAGTTTGGAACTAATACCTGAAGGCTTCATAGTGTAGTTTACGCGCTCGCCTCTCCAGTATTCCAGAGGCCTCAGCCGTATCCTTTTTGTCCGACGAACATTAGGTGTGTTGGAAGGCATGACTGATTTCAAGGATGAAGTCATTAAGTATGAAAGGAAAATTCAGAGACAGAAAATATTAAGCATTCTTTCCTCTTGTTCTGTACCACAAGGGGGTCAGCCCTTCCCAGCTGATATTTTTATCACATTGCTATCATGACAAGAAAATAGAATTCAAGTATTACCAAATGCCTTCTTTTGCATAAATCAGTACTTCACCCTCCTTTCTCTTAAACAATCACCACCCTGACTTGACATTCGATTTCATTCTATATATCTTAGTAAACCACTGATACACAGACATTAGGAGCTCAAGCTCAAGGACAGCAAACATGCTACATCTGTGAAGACAAAGTTCTCGACAAAGACTAAGAATCCTGCCTGAATCTGGGGGATTTCATTAGCAACCATGAAAAGGCACTGCCTCAGTTATGGGGAGGGTAACAGAGACTGCCTAAGTACATCCTTCTCTTCCACATTCAGAAGTTCTGTTTCCAGAGGCCAGAAGAGCAGCACTTTTGCAAAAAGAAACCACACACTTCCAGGATTTGTCAGATATTTTTCTTCAGATGCACTAATCACACAGTCTCAATTGGAAGTTGTGTTAGCTGTCATATATGAATAAAGTATGATATTTTATTGTTTGTAAGAAGAGCAAAAGCCCCTTAATATCTCAAAGCAACTTAATTAAGAATATTTAAATATTCAAAAATGGTAAATATGAAACAGTTGCTGAAACAGTTTTTGAAGGTAGACAACTAAAGTGTTGTGCATAAAATAATAATGAAGCCAATAAAAAAACACCCATGATGTAAACAGACAAGCATGGGACTACAACTGACTGCATGGCCATTGTTCCATCCTATCCAGACTCAGACCACCAGAGAAGGCAGGTTATTTGCACCCTCAGTTTTACTGCACAAAACCAATTCAAACTCTTACTGCTCTCACTGTACAGTAAGAGTTTGTGCTGACTCAGTTTTTTAGGGATATATTCAGTGCAGGTGTGGAGCTGCAGTGCCAGGCAGAGATCGAGCTCTGCAGGAGAGCCTCAGGCAAGAGGTCATGAGCTGATGCTGACCCTCTGAACCACCATGGGCACGGGGAGCTGTGGCCCAGCCCAGTGACCCCACACTCAGGGACACAGCAGGAGCTGAGCACTCAGCTGGAAGGAGCAGCAGCACCCGGACTGTTGAGCACACAGAATGTGAGGGTACTAAGCCCAGATAGTCCTTGGTTCCAGTATAAGCTGTTATTCTGTTGCTACACCATAAAATTACTTAAAGGAACCAGAGGTCTGAGACTCTGCCATGAGAAACTCAGATGCAAGCCAGGAAGGAAATCTGGCTGTGTACAGAGGCAGGGTCACCTGGCAGGGCACTGGAGCCACCCACTGGTAAGGGGTTTCAGTCCCAGGACTTCAAGTCTGTGGTGGTGGGAGTGTGACTGCCAGAGTGGCTCCTGGATGGTCAGATCTGAAAGTTTCCTTAACACAATACCATGAAAAACCAAAGTGTGGCAGTTAAAAAACTGTTGAATGGAGCAACAAAAAGAGAAACACTAGAAGTTTTAAAAAACAACTTTCAAATTAAGAGAAGGGCTGAAGGCCTGAAGAAATAACAAACCCTATCTGTAAATACTTATGAACAGATGAACCCATTTCTAGGTGTTTGTGTCTCCTTCAGTAACATTTAAATCAAGTTGAAAATGCACTTGCATTTACACACTTACATTATATTTTAAAATACTCTTACCTATTTTATGCTTTGCTATTTCGTCTGACAACAGATGTCTTAATTTGTAATTCAAGTCTTCAGAATTATCTGAAAACACATTCAAAAACCCCATCACCAAAGGCATTTATTATTCCTGACTTTTAGCAACCAAAAGTAACACATACAGAAGTCCCAAGGACGGTGCTTTCACCAACACCTTTTGCTATAAACATATATTAAATCCAGTATAGCTAAACATTATCTGTAATTAGTTTTAAACAGAGTAAACTTAAAAATTACTTGAAAACTATACTTTCAAGTAAATACTCCTCAGACCTATCCCTCTTGATAAAGTGAACATTGACAAATTAAACTATACACATAATTTTACTGATCAAAATGCAAGGTCATTCAGATTTATATCACTGAAACCTAACTTCAGAACAAATTTTTTACCAGAACACACACAAAAGTAGGTATCTGAAAAAAGCATTGCATGGACTAATGACATCCACATCTGGCTCTGAAGCACTAAGGAAAAGACTTTGTATCTCCAGGGCTCATGTTCATTACAATAACATGTGGAACTTGTGCTGTGAAATTTAAAACTGAAACCAAACAAATACTAATAATCCTCCCCATACAAAAGCCCCCAAACACAAAACCAAACCAAACAACTAACAACAAAAAAAAAAAACCTAACACAACAAAGCAAACAAACAAACAAAAAAACAGAAACAAAAAAACAAACAAAACAAATAACCCCTCCCTGAAAAAAACACCAAACCAAAGTATTCTTTGGGGAACAGGCCATGACTCCATCAATGCTGTAATTTGGCTCAGGTTTACCTGAAGTGTCTGCATACAGGACCATCACATGGGAACACATCAAACTGCTACAAACTGAGCCTGAAAATTTTGTTCCAAGTATTTTAGAAAGAATAACTTTATCCTGGTATGCATGATGCCAAAACACAGAGGGCTACGTTCTCCCAAAGCTAACCAGATAAAGCTGGCATGCTGTACCACACACTTGGATAGAAATGTAACCACAGCCAATAAAATCTGCATTTCTTCTCCTGCACAAGCTGAATACAACAGAAATTACTGAACTGTCAGTCACAGTTTATAAGAAGCTTATACATAAAATGCAAGGAATTACACAGTTCAAACATTACCTGAAGATATATCATCCTGCTCAGGACACTTAGTGCTGGAAGCAAGTCCATCTTCTAGAACAAGCCCACTACAAAAGAAAAAAAATACACCTGCTTGAACATGTCAAAGGAACATTACAGCACTACCAAGAATAGCAAATTAAAGTTTTTACCAGATCATGTGGGCTGGGTTCTATTTTGCTTTTAAACAAGTGTATACCAATTACACACTGAAGCAAATGACTACTCCTTAAAAATCATAGGTCAGAAGTTCATGAACTCCTCCCCTACTCAGTCATCAGGCAGACAATTGGTGTTCACACCTCCTCTCTGAAGAGGTTTCCTAAACTTTTTTCTCCATTCCAGAACAGACCTCCTCACCACCTCTGCAGCATGACCTTACAATTTTCTATATACCATAATTATATAATTGTATAATTAAAAGAGCTTTAAAGAGTTGTTTTGCATACTCTAAGGAAAGGAGAGAAAAATAAAATGTAGCCTGTCATAAAATCCTCCCCATAAAATGGCAAAAATTTATACATGTAACTGCAACAGAGATTCTCTAGCAATCAAGCCACTTGTCACAGAACTTCTACAGCCTTAGAATCAGCACCCTCGACCTTCCTTCTTCCCCCATCGGAGGCTGTGCTTCATTGCTTTTACTGTGCCAATGAAGTTCAGCTGTTCCCCACCTCAACTCCAAAAGGTGCATTTCCATTACCTAGGTTAGCAAATCTACACTGCAAATCTGTCCAAGTCAGTCTGCAGTAAGTTCCCCTTAGAAATAAAGTCCCCAATATTTTTAGTACAATGACTGCATAAGAATTTAATAACTTCACAGACTGTCACTCCTGTTTGCTTCGTTATTAAGTTTCCATCTCACAAAAGGGGACGATACATGCCTATGTACATGCACAAAGAGTTTGGAGTGTAGATTGAGCTCTATACCCTACTTGACATCAATTTTATTAGTGCAGCTGTTATTATTTCTAGGAGCACTGATCCTTCTGTTCAAAAATCACACTCTAATGTGGAAGCAAGCCTCAAAGGAAAGAAATCCCCAAAGGCAATAAGCTTATTATGACCCCCTATTCATGACAGGAAGAAAAACTGTATTAGTTTATTGACTGTATTAGCACATATTTAAAGCCCTCAGGCAGGAATCACAAGGCTGTTCTACTCAGTGGTTCACCAGCAGGGCACAGCACACAGCAGCTGTACCAGCTGCCCACGCTCAGGGCGTCTCCATGGGCCAGAAGTAGGATTAAAGTAACGTGTTTCAGACAACTCAGGAAATTACCTTTGGCAACTCACAACCCTCTCAGCTACAAAGGAATCCCTAGAAAAGAAAACAACACTCTTATTATATTTGGTGTTAAATAAACTTAATGAAAGGAACCTGTAGGTCAATAATTTTATGTCCTGAACAAAACGATAAAAAAGACATTAAAAACATTAAAAAGCAATGCAAAGACCAGTGATTATCAACCAGGTTTTAGACCACCTGAACTTAGTCTTTAGATTGACAAAAACAAATATAGCTGAAGAATTAAATGCTGTATTTTCTAAATTTATTTTTAAAAAGGAACCAACTTGACAGTAAAGTTACTCCGTGGGTGGTGGGGTTGTGTTAAACTACATCTGCTCTGCAAGTCTCACAAGAAGACTTTAACTAGAACAAGTTTCCTCATGTAGAAGACAAAAAGTATGGCACCGAGCTTTGAGAAAAGAAGGTTGATTAAACTGCTTGGTTTCTCTATTAACTATTCAACCAGCCTCAAACTACCATGTACTTGTTGAACTGGGCCATCACTGCTTAGAAGCTGACAAGATGTATTTCATTATCTACCAAGTTACATAACACATTTTTAAAGAATCACACAAAAAGCTTACTGTGGTCCACGCTGTCTGTTATGTTTTCTTTTTTTACTTTTTATTTTCACATCTGGTAACTTCTGTTTTTTCCTTGCCGTGTCCTGTACAGAAGAGCTGTCAGAATCTGTTTGAGACTCAGAGCCTTCAGAGCTTGAGTGAAGAGCTTTATTGGTTCTACGTGGAATCTTTTTGGGTCTCTTCCCTGAATACTTGGCAGAGCATTTCTTTCCTGGATTCTTCACACTCTCCACGGGATGCTGGAGTGCTTTTAGAGGAGTTCTGTTATTGGCATCACCAGGTGACTCTGGTGTGTGTAATGCATTTCCAGGCTTTTCGGGGTTAGTCAACTTCTGAATCACAGGAGTCTCTAATTTCTGATGCAAAGATGTGGTGCATACTTCATTCAGTTCCACAGGCTCTCTTTCAAGCTCTTCTTCACCAGGTCCACTGTTAGAACTCTCCTCTCTTTGTAACTGAGGCTTTTTATTACTACTTTTCTGGACAGATATTTTCCTTGGAGTTACTGTCTCTCTCTTAGCTACTTTGACCTTTGGAAGTTTCTGCTTAGCAGTTTGCTTCTTCTTAACTAAATGCTGAGAAGCTTTAGAAGCCATCTGCAGATTCTTGGAAGACTTGAGAGACTTTTTCAGTGACACAGTCTGCTTTTTCTGATGCCCAGATGAGGGCACAGGTAAATCCTCACTTGGCACACTTGTTTTACGCTGCTCTTCATCAGATGATTCTGTTTCCAATCCAGGCCACATTGGTATTTCAGCTTCTGGTTTCCAGGATGTGTTCTTTTTCTGGTTTGGAGAGTCTTGTCTAAGTGCATCCTTTTCAGTCTTTCCTGTCAATACACAAAATATTTGGACCTGAATACCTTTTCCCATTATGCCTGAAGACATGCATTAACACCTGAATGCACAAAAAAACCCCAAAGAATCAAAATGGGGGGTTAAAAAAAAGAGGTATCACAAAACCAGTTTTATCACCATTGGCTAAAAGAAGGCTTTCACTAAACTATAGTCCACAAAAAACTTTTCAGTGTTCTTCCAGTATTTCCTAATAAAAAAAGGGGGCAGAAATGTTACATTCAGTCTGCTTTCCAGTTTTCAGTGTTCATGCTACAAAACCCTTCACAAATAATTCCTAAAACTCAATCCCCTTCCTGTTCAAATATAACTGCCTTTCTCCATGACTCTTCCTACAAAAAGGCAACACTGCTAATTTAATTGTTAATGTTCTAACAGGAAAGGCAAAGGATGTGGCAAAAAAGTGAAGACACTCTCACTGCCTCTCTGTCTCACCCAAATGTAATTGCACAACTGAAACACCAAAAAAGAAATCTATTGATGTTTATCATCTACTTTATTATAATTTTCTCATAAACCACCAGAAAATAATCCAGTAATGTGACCTGTAAGGTCAAGTCTGAAGAGCTGTTAAATAACTTACCCGCACAAGGACTTCTTCGGCTTTGAGTTTTAAGGACATTTTCTTCACTACTAGGGACTGGATCTGACACTGACGTTTCTTTGAAGTCAAAAGCTCCAATATCTGGATGATCCAGTTTCTGTTTAGTAAGTGCTTTACCCTGAACTTTTCTGTTCTTGACTGTCTTATTCTGTGTCTTCTTTTCAGAGGGCTGAGGCTTAGAAATGGGAGCTGCAGAGCCATCAGTTTTTGATTTTTTCTTCTTAGTGGGTATCGAAAGCCAAGAAGTAAAAGATGCACCACCTGATTCATCAATTAAAAATTCACATTCATTTTCTATTTCTATTTCTTGATATTTCACAGGGCGAGGTGATGGTGGTGATATGGAGGTTGAATATCTAAAGAATGGGGGGAAAAAAACATTCATATCAATCAGGGTGGGGGGGGAAAATTGACTTTCAGTCTTTCAAATCTAGTGGTAACTCCCCACACCTAGACACAGTACAGAATGTTCCTCAAAAGAATTATTATAAAGTCCATCCATCATATGTTCCATATTAAGGCTCCATACAAACCTCTGTCCAAATGTTCCTGTTGCTACAGCTGCAATGACAGCTGAAGAGAAGTTCTTCTCTCTCCGGGCAGATGATGCAGTAACACGTTCTGTTCCTTGCACAGGAACAACGTGCTCTTCTCTCCCAGGCAGAGGTCCTTCCAAATTTTCCACTTCTCCATGGCTCTTTGCTGCAGTTGGTGTACTCCTCTTATCAAAATGCAGTCTACAAATGAGAAACAGCATTCAAATATGCTGCTATAAATCCTGAGTGCACAATAAAGTATTGTGAGGATGAACAGATGTTCCTGCTGACAGCATCTCACTTCCAATGAACGAGCTTCCCTTTGGAAACTTGCTGCAACACAGGTGAGCAGTAGGGCTTTCCAGTATAGTAGCAAGTGCCCACAGGCATCATGGAGTCAGCATGTGACTCTTGATCAAAGTAAAGGCTGCTCAGCAAGACAAATTCCTAATTTTAGGAGGATGTGCTTGAGAAATTGTCAGGTTTCCTAGTCGTAGATGCACTGTCTTTCCAATCTCACTCCATCAATGGGAGTCAATCCATCTTTATGACCTATCCCAGAGATCCAGTCCTCCAGGAAAGCAGAACTGTGGCCAGGACACTGGCCAGTGCTGCAGTTCAGCTTCAATTCTTCCAACAAGGAAATAATAATCACAACTGAAGCTATTTTACTTCAAATAAAACATTTGTACATTGAGAGTGAGAGGAACAATGACTGCTCATTTCTGCTTTAACAAATTCTTGTTGACTTTTAAAGTCAACACTGTCAATAAGATTCACTGAAGAAGTCTAGATGATCTGAGAAGCTGATACTTTGGTACACTTTCTTGGAAAAAAAGAGTTAAATTTATTTTGACAGGCTTCCTTCACTTGGGTACTGCACTTATCACCAGAATATTAAATAAAATATAATTCCGCCCTTTCTAAACCCAGATATAGAACTTCCTAAAAAGCTTACAATTATTTTTTATGAGTTCACAATCCAAACTCAATTTACCTTGAGGGGGAGGGCACACCTGGAATATGACACCACGACCACGTGCAGCTCTACTTACTTAACTGCAGGAGAACTTTTCGCTTCCTCCACAGGAAGAGGTGATCCAACAGCCCCACGATTATCCTCAGGGTTCAAAGGCACAGCTGGACACTGGCATGGTGCTTCAACATCTTTTAAAGTATTTTTCTTTTCACTTTCAGACACAAGAGACTCTGTCTTTTTAGGAGTAGCTACGTAATCAGATGTTGCAGCCTTCAGGTGTGATTCACATGACAGTCCTGCCATATACATAGAATAGGTTTCATTCTTTTACTTAAAACCTTACAAAATCCCAAGAAATAGTTACTCTAAAAACCTTAATTCAGTAATAGTGTGACCAACCTCTGCTGCTGACTGGTTTTAGTGCTGATGCAGGTGAGGGTTCTGCAGACTCACGGGCTCTTTTCACAGAGCTGGCTGACCCTGCCTTGGGCTGTCATAGTTGGTAACAAATAATGAGATGAGGTAAAATATTTGATAAAGCAACATTATTTTAACAGGAATACACATTTCTGTAGAACATTAATATAATTCACACTGTGGCATTCTAAGAAAAACAGTGCTGCAATAACTCCCACTGTCCCACTACTTCAAGATGTCTCATGTTCTTCCCTTAATTCATACTCATTCAAATCACAGTTGTATTTCACCTAAACACTTCAACTTTCTATGGTGCAAAACTCTAAAAGTAACTGTAAATTTCAAACAACAGGTAAAACAGTGCATACAGTAAAAATCTATATGCAGCTTTAACCAGACATCTGACTAATCTCAAGGTAAACTACTTATTATTGTTATTAGAATGAATTCATTTAAACTGTTTAATTACCCTTTACTAAAACAAGCTGAGGTTTAGCAAGAATTGATTTGAGATTATAATTCTAACATCAGACTAAATTAAACAAACACCATTATAAGGTTGCCTCTTCTAAACCCTACCATTAATAGAATATCCTACTTAAAAGAGTAAAATCAACATATTAAAACTAAATATACATTCTAGATTATTGGCATCATCCTCTCAGGCAGCACATTAACAGGCCTTCACCTTGTTTCCACTCATCAATAAAGTCACAGACCTATGAAGTATTGTATGAAGTTACTGTATAGTTGAGATAACTATCAGGAGTTTTCCAGCTGCTTTTCTACATGAATCCCCTTTAGATTTTACTGCCCATCTGATGGCTAAGAACTGTGCCCATATGTTTGGCAAAGTGACCACAACCAGCTCCAGTGGAGTCCAAGACAGCCAAACCCAGCACAGTAATAAGGCAGCATACTTCAACCTCAGACCATGAGAAATGTAACTATCCTGGACAAAAAGCTGAAGAAGCTTTCATTAGTAAAAACCCAAGGAAAAAAAATCTATTAAATAATTCTACTTTCATAATATTTACAATTAGAGCACAACAAACTAAGAAAAAATGCACATTTTCAACAACTGTCATAGATCATTAAATTTTAGCCTACATACTTTTACAGTGCTCATACACAGCTAAATGCTACAGAATTGAACTTGTACCCCCATGAACCTGTACCCAGTGCCACACTATGACACTGACAGAACTCACCCTTTGTCTCTGGATTGAAGTCCTCTTCTCATTTTTCAAAACAAAGGTTGAGCTATTTGGAGAGTTTATTGTAAGATCATTGCTGCAACCTATGAATTAAAAAACAGTGAATATGGGAATCTTGGAATTGTTCAGGTTTTATTTATTTCAACAAGTTCTAAAGCTCACTAAGGTCATGTAAATCCTAACAAGATAGGAACCAGATGCTTGAGAAAGAGATTATAAGACAGCTAAGATACAGTTTTAAAAAGCTGAGAAGGGGTTGTTCTTAAAAACCATGGGAAATACTCTTTTTATCTATTTTATCCCTATTTTTTATTTCTATGTACTTACGGTTCAATATAACATAAGGAAGAAAATAACTATTTTCTTTTATCAGCAAATCAAGCAAAACACCAAATAAGAGCTTACTTTCAAAACAATCCTGTATGAGTTTCAGTACGTTTTGACCTGGCTGTAGATCAATCTTATTTCTAGAAAGAGAGAAAAATATTTTCAATCAAAAATGCCAAATGCTCTCATCTCAAATATTAACATTGCAAAGTTTTACTTCTAAATGTTTTAGGTTATTATTTCTTCAAGTTCAGACTGTAATACATTTTTACCTGCCATTTCCATGCATTGACATCTGCAAAGAAACTTGTCTAAGTAGGAATTCCAGGAAAAAAAGCCTCACTGCTACAGGTTATATTAACAATGAAGAATTCTCTCTACATTAAAGAAAACAAGCAACTACTGCAACAGCCCTGAGGTAAATGAGCTTTAGGCTGACTAGAGTCTCACTTGAACATGTAATTTTTTTATAAATCAGACCTGGAGCTATGTTGCCTGCACAGTGATGCAGCTGGAACCAGGCCTGAGGTATTCTATCCACAAGCAAGTGACCAGCTCAGCTGGTTGGATAATTTCACACCAGCACAACTGGAAAGGGCAGAAGTGAGTGATTCACCAGCCAGACAATGTTGATCAAAACCAAAATAACAGAAAAGCCATGGAGTTTTACTCCCATAATGATCATGATATACCTTTAAAAACAACAAATTGTGTACATTTGGTAAGCTCACAAAATGCATTTCCAGAAATGAATTTCAGCAGCAAAAACTTCACAGACTCCTAACACTCATGTAAAGAACATCACAGCACTGCAAATGCTCAAACTCATCTCTAACATTTACCAGCAAGGTCCAAATATGCTGGAACACTGCCTGGGTTTAATTTCCCTACTCCTTAAAAGGCAATATGTTAGCACAGATCACTGCTTGCCTACACAGGCAGCCCGGTTAGGGGTACCTTAGGTACAGCTGCACCTGCTGCCTCAGCAAAGGGAAACTTCAGAGCCTTGTCCCCCCACAGAGCTTGCTCCTCTTACCACTAAGAAATACAAGAAATGTGGGAAACATCACATGATCAGTTTAATAAGGTACATCAAGTAGTTTTGACATTTAGCTCTAAGATAAAAATCAAGGTAAGTTTTCCAGAACCTAAGAATAAGTTTTTAAATGCAAATTACCCTCCTCCATGGCAGTATCTTGCTCTGTAGTCTTTTTTTAAACGATTCTGTGAAGAAATAAGAATCAATTTTTACTAAGCATGACACTTGACAGAAAAACAAGCAGATCTCGAGGATTCTCGAGACATCTTGAAGTAGTGGGACAGGGGGAGTTACTGCAGCACTGTTTTTCCTAGAATGCCACAGTGCCTCTTCATACATTTAAAACCCAAGTACAACCACTCATTCGAACAGCAGACAGGACTCCAGCCATTTACCACAACTAAGAGCGGCAATAATTCAAGCAGCAGCATGTTCTCTGTGTAATCAAATAAAGCTGCTGACCTGGGAACCAGTAATGGCTGTAGAGGATAAAATGGGAATGAAAGGCAAGAAAAATTCAACAGCAAAGCAGAGTGCAGTTCTTCACAAATGTGACAGGAAAACATCACAAAGAAATGTAAGTATTTATCTGAAAAACAATTATAACCTCTGCCTAATTCATATAAATTTAGAATATTTAGCAACGTGGAGAGTATCTAATCCTAACACAAGAGAATTCTGCACGTTTTTGTGAAGTTTGCCATATTGACAGTATTCTGCATTTCATTGTGATTTCCCTTTGGCTGTTACTTCCAGTATAAAAAATAAACAAACGCTATAGGGATAGATTTCACTGCAAATTTTCAACATCGGTTTAAAGCGGCAGAAGGAAGATACAGGGAAAACAACTGACCAAAAGCCACCACTTCAGAAACTACACAGAAGCACACTCCGCAGTCAATCCGGCACTCGGACATTAAACCCCCTTCCCTTCGCAGCAGACTGCAGCACAATGCACTGCGCGCTAAAGAAATTAAAATTTCCTGTCAAGGACCTAAAAGAGCCTTTACCAGTCCATTTATTATTGTGTCCGTGTCGCGCTACACATGAAGAATGTTAAAACTCAAGCACGATTCTAGCGTGCCTGCACAAATGTCCTGCTCTTGATGCGCTCACTGTCCCGTGGAAGGCGGCTCTCCCGCGGCAGCCAGAGGGGCACGGGTCCGGCACAGACACCGGTGCGCTCCGGGGAACGCGGCTCCCGCCACACCAGCCCCACAAGTGTCCGTGCCAACCGCCCGGACCCGCAGTGAGCGCGGAACCCCAATGCCAGCCTCGCTCGCCTCATGGGGAAGATCGGCCCCGTCCCTCCCCTCAGGAGCGCGCCGAGGGCCGCGCCCCTGCGCTACAGACGGGCCCGGCCACCGCCCACAACAAACCAGGCAGACAAGACAGACACAGACGCGGACGCGGACATACAGACACACACAGAGCGGCCGCTGCCGCGCTCTCTCACCAAGGCCTGCGCCATCCCGGACCGGGGCCGGCGCGCGCGCGCGCCTCAGCGCCGCCTTCGAACCTCGCGCGCCTTTCCCGGCGGGCGCGGGCGCACGGCCGGCGGACGGCGGCGCCCGGGCCACGCCCCCCCGTCCCCGTCCCATTGGTCGCGCGTCCGGCAGGGCAGCTCGTTTAGGCGCGCGCGGCTGTTACACCTGCGCAGAAGCAGCGGCTGCGCCCGTCGCCCCGCCCCTTCTCCTCCCGCCTTTCTGTGAGGGGACGGGCGGGGGATGCTTTCCGTTCTTTTATTTCGCCCGTGGGAAAAGCTAGCTCAAATCCTCGGGTTGCGAAACGCCACAGAGCATCCCTTCTCAACACGGGGCGTTGCAAATTTTTCTTTAAAATTCTACTGAAGAACTCAACAACGAGCAAAAAACAACTGCTTGAGAACGTAAGGGCGCAGTACCTTAGAGTGACGGCAAAACATTGCCCAAAAATACAGTTTTAGTGATGCTTTTTATCACACACTTGTGACCGGAACACCAGGTCTTACCCCTATCCTTTCTGACCACTAAAGGGAAGGCCTATTCTATTTTAAAAGTACATCATAACGCGGGAGGTTAGCACTTTCTTTTCACGAAAATAGTTTAGATCACTTTGTGAAGAGGGTGCTGCTCAGTGTGCATCAGATCTGAGCTGCAGCTTTTTCCCTATGAAATTTAAACTTGTATGCTGCTGGGACAAGTGGTAACTTACACTCCTTCCCTGTCTCTCACCCGTGCCATACAAGAGGATGGGCACTAACGCAGTTCTGCTGCTAGCGATGCTCATGGAACGCTTACGCTTAAGCGTAAGTGGCTCCTTTAGGCTTTGTGCACCACGGATAAGCATCTGCACCAGCTACGTAATCAACCGCACACAATATATCTTTACTAAAATATTCGAGAGGTCTCAAATTTATCAACGTTTCCAAAAAGGTTTAGATTGCTGCACTGTGCTGCACATTTGCTTTCTGTAATTGCATGGGATTGATAAACTTTCAGTTTCAGCTTTTGGCTGAAATTCAGTTCCTTTCTTAAAAATACTGGCCTACATTCACATTGCTTCAAAGACACAAGGAAAATTACAAACATGAAGATCATAAACTTATCTAAAATCTTTACTTGTATTTGATGACAGGTCAGACAGGTGTACGAGCTTCCTGCCTAGCTCAAACCCGTTTTATTTCAGGATGTGAAAAGCCATGAAGAGGTGACAGCCTGACTGGTGCCAGAGTTTTTCTGCCTATATACCCCTATTCTTGCATAGTTTTATCTTTTTAATAAGCAGTCACACATTTCCCTGTACATAGGAAAAGGGTGGGAAAATAATATGGAAACATCTATTTTTTACTTGTGGTATAGATAATAAAAGCTTAAAACCATCTGATCCATTAAAACATTCTTGTTGACAGTATTGAGACCCTCACACAGAATCCTCACTACTCCTAACGTTAAAGAAACATGATGACTAACCAGAGAAAAGTTGATCTGGCTGCTTAATACTTGGCATGCGCAAATTAATTAACTGCACCTATTAAGAGTGATAGAAATTCAGAGAAAGCTGGTGTAAATATGAGCAAACTCTTCTAGAAAGCATTTGAGTGAGAAGGATCTTCATTACTGATATAAAACTTCATTCCTGCAAATCAACTGCTCTCTCAAAGAATGACATTTTGAAAGAAAGCTATTTGAAGTGCTCTAGTGGAAAGACAGCTTTTCATTGTGACAGGAAGACAGCAAGCTTTAGCTGCTCCACAGGAATTGTGCATCAAACAGTCCTAGACAAACACAAGCTTTCACTGCCATGAACAAAAATAAAAGACATAAACCAGTCCTCAGGTTCCAGGTAATGCTACAAGACTCTAGCTTGGTAGCACTGTGACAACATTGGAGATTTGGCACCCCAAAATTCACTTGCCCAGAGCCTTTTTAGTATGACCATGCTGAGTACCTGCAGAGACTTTTGATAAAAAGCAGGAACAGATTGAGAAACAGACTCTATCAAATACAAATACTAAATCAGTGTACTCCACAATCTTCCATATAAACACCTTCACTGAATCAGTGTACTCCATAATCTTCCATTTAAACATCTTCACTCTCCATATCAGAAATTTAAAAATGTTTAAAGCAGGAAGAACAGTTTTAATGAGCCATTTGATATGCCAAGTTCTTCTACACAAATTGAATTACTAGTTCTGAGATTTTACCTAGATTAATTTATATCCAAAATTTTTAAAGGTGTGCTAATGTGCTAATGGCTCTAATATCTAGAGCCATTGTGCATTTTTAATTTTTCCATAACCAACTTTTCAACTGAGCAGAACCCATCCACAGAGCATCCATCCATCCATCAGACACACACACAATATGAGCAGCATAAAGATAAAGCAATATCTGTAAGTCCTGGCTGTGATCCCTGCCAGCCTTGACCCGGACTTTTTACAAGGCTCTCAAAGGCACACATGTCATTAGGAAAAGCCACTGCATGAATTATATCTGACTGTTTACTTTAAACCCTGAGGACAGTCACATGGCATTCTAGAACAGTACTGAGACTTTACTGTTTTTAAATGCTGCTTATTTCAAAAGCATAAGCATGATGTTAACACCACACTAACGTAACAGAGTATACTTACTCAAAGTTTAATCTCCCAGCTTCCAGCTGTGAGAGGTGACGGTGTTTTCTTGTTGACCTAAACCTTTAAGTGATCCTTAGCACTAATTAGTGACATCATTAAATTAAATGTGAAGACATCCCTGAAGCTTAATAAACTATGATTGAAGATAAACAGCTAAGTTGTTAATATCTTTTGCAACAGCTGCAGAACATAATGTTCAGTAACAATCTCTAAAGCTGAAACATATGAGAGGGTGTTTCAGTTTAAGTTTCTATTCTAATCTTGCCTTGCTCTACCATGATGGTGAGAAAAAAAGTACTACTTCAAGTACCCAGTGCTTAGATGAGTTAAATTATGATGTTTTTGTAACACACCTCTGCCTCACCATAGCAGCAAAACTAGTCCACAGTGATTTCCAGTTAAGCAGAAATTTTATAATTACATATCCCAATAACTGATCAATGAGGGTCAAACCTCGTGGTTCAGTGCAGCTCAGACTTGTTCTGAGGACAGGTGTACAGCACAACAATTTGCTATAAGGAAATGGTACCAAACGGAGCAGCTGAGGTAAAAGTTTGCTTTGACAAACATCCAGAGGTATTTGTCTTTTCCTCCCTTTAACATCAAGTGCTACAGTGATTTTAATCTGGTGAGGGCAGAAAGGCTCAACCACATTTTCTCTTTGTTGAAGACCAAGTTTTATTGTTGAAAGTGCTAATTTGGCTTTCTGATAGGTTTTCACTTTACCCATACTGCAATATTCCACAAAGAACAGTCTTAGTGCAGATAATCAACAATTCCAGCTCTCTGGACTTGAGGGGAGTTTGACAATTGACAGCCCCTGCCTATGTCGAGACTGACAGAAGACAGCTGTGCTGACCACGGCACCACTAAGCAGCCACACAAGAAAGCAGCTCCTCTGCTTTTAAATGGGAGTTTAAGCCTTTCAGATGGATCTAATCTCACATGTAGATGGCAGGAGTGAAATTCTTGTTTGAGAATGGAATAACATACGAAGAGAGTTCGAGATGTTCTTAGAACACCAGGAGTATCATAAAATGGTGCTTCTCCTATTTTTTGCACTCTTCCCTAAGCAAATGCAAATTGCCTAATTTGCACATGGGGACCATTTCTTAGGTTCACCATTCTTCTTGCTTTCCTCAATACAAATCTTGCCTTAAAGCTAAGGACTGTACTGGACATTCCATCTCATAGAGTGACCAATCCTCCTTTGAGCAAACAGGCTTGAAGAATACAGGAGCAGAAGAAACAAATCCAGTTTGTCTTCAGTGCAAAGCCACTGATTTTCACCATTTAATTAAGGCTTCACCAAAAAGAAATATATAGTACCATCTTTAATAGCTGAAAATTAGCACACTCCTTTCAGAACAAATGGTCCATGAGTGACTTTTGTGTCTCTACCATCAATTGTCTTCCTGAACAAAGTAGTATCTCACTGGTGGTCCGGGCAAGTCTTCCTCTCCATCAGTCTCTGGAGCAAATGAAACTGTCAAATCCACATACTTCTTATCAGCTGATGGTTTCACAAGCTTTTGCATCCTATAAAGAAATGAAGAGCAGTTCATAAATGCACCAGGAGAACTGGCAGTGGGAATTCAGGGCCAGACTAGGAGGAATTTCACTGCCAGCAATGTGTACTGGCCCAGCATACTACAGACCAAACTAAAATAGAGAATACACCACCTCTAAATTGCACACAAAAGCTGATCCTCCACCTGAGCTTCAGCAAATAGTATTCCATTTTCTTGACAGACACACCCCATTAACGTCTCAGAGTAGTAAAAAATCCTGATATTCACAAGAAGGCAGCTTCATACTATGACTTTGACTTCATTACATACCCCACTCATTCAAAATTATTTATACAGCTGTAAGAGAAAGCATATAAGCAATGTTTTTGGAGACAGGCTGTAAATTGTCATCTTAGTATGCCAGGCACTCTACAGCTTGGCAGCTCTTCTCTCCCCAGGAGTTTGAAGTAGCTTGCTTATACCTCTCTGCCTGATAGCTACTGTCAGGCCTTCAAATCAGTACTGATCAGTGCATCCACTTGCTGCAGCAAAGCCTGTGAGCACTGACTACCACACACTTCACAGGAGCTGTAAGGAACAGATTTTAAGCTAAAGTAGTTCAATCCACAGGTAAGGCAGAACTAAACCTGGGTGAGATCTGGCTGTTATTTTTCAAAAGCCTTCAGTCAAAACCCAATGCCCTGCCTTCACATCCTATCAAAATGCCAGGGTGAAATACCACTATTTCCTGTCTGCAAGCAGCATAGCAGAACCTTTTTGAATGTCATCATTCTTAAAAGGGCTGAACTGATGAAGAATCTCAAGCAATTACTCTAATTGAACAGACTTACAGAAATCTCAAACTGCAAGCAATACATTATTCCTTCACAGCTTAGTTGCTAAATATCAGCATTA